TAGACCGGTCGTTTTGTATGGCAGTGAGACGTGGACTATGACCTAGAAAAACAGGAGAGCCTTGCTGGTTTGGAAGAGAGAAGAGTCCTAAGGAAGATCTTTGGAGCTGTCAGAGAGGAGCATGAATGAAGAATAAGAAGGAACACCGAGTTAATGGAGAGTCAGACATCCTTAGTGTCATTAAGAAGAGCAGACTCAGATGGCTGGGTCATGTTGAAAGAATGGATCTCAGTAGACCTCCAAAAATGATACTGAATGGTACTCCAGGAGGGAGACGACAAAGAGGTAGACCCAAACACCGATGGTTGGATGATCTGGAAGAAGACTTGAGGAGGCTGTGGATCAGAAATTGGAGGAATCTTGCTGTGGACCGTGAGGAGTTGAGGAGAGTGGCGGCAGAGCCCCAGGTTCTACAAGGACTGCAGCGCCCATTGTAGAAGAAGAATCTATTATATATAGTATAGACAGAATGCATCTGCAATTTGAATTAATAATTATTTTTATTGATTTAGTCACTGTTTTCTTGTTTGAATTAATAGGTATCCTACCAACTCTTAGTTGTTAATTGAGTGGTTAACATAAATCAATTTTATTTAATAAAATTCTGGAATAAGGGAAATGTCATCTGAAAAATTTAAAATGTTAAATACATTAGGCTCGGTTAAATAAAAACGCTGTTTTAACCTGTGCTTTTATTATTTTAGTTAACGATATCATCATAAGTAAATGCTATCTATATATATAAATAATAAAACTATCAATTCATTGAAACTAATGATAATATTTTGACCCCGTCGATGCCTAGATCAAACAAATCACGTGGTCTCTTTGGCCTCGATTTGAAATGGCCACCGCACTTTGTAATTTGTCCAATTCACTCAAAAGACCACACGAGGACCGATATGATCAATTTGGAATGGTCGTCGCATCATGGCTTCGACAAGTTGCCGAAGATGCAAATGAATTAATAATTGTGGTGTAAGTAATATATTTCTTGACAAAAAACACAACAATTGTAAAGCACCACATTCACAGTATCCATTAACTGTTGCAAATATGTACTCGAAACTCTTATATTTATATAGAGCAAATAAAGTTCGAAAAATAAATCCCCCTTAAAAGATTATTATTACCTAGACCTTTCTAAAGACCTACAAAGAATTATATCGAACTGTATGTCGCCAGATATTTTAAATATTCATAAACTTGTTAATAATACATAATAAACTTATTAATAATATATAATAATACATATTATGTAATATTTATTATTAGATATAATCAAAGGATATCAAGGTCAACTGAAAATCGCCCTTTTATTGATAAAATCCTTGGGTCCTGGACCATTACCCCACATTCATAGTGTTCATAGGGTTCAAAACTTGATTATTTTATATAAAACGCAATTATATATCCTGTTAGTTATTCCGTAATAAATATTTAATCTTAAAAAAATATTTGGTATGTTATTAAAATATTTAAGTCTTTTAACATATTTACCTCAATATCATCTATTAAAAGTTCGATGAATGCTGCGCACACTACTTTAACTATTATTGATCGTATACAACAATAACACAATAATCGTAGCCTATCCATGTAGGGCAGATACTTAAAAAAGATTAAGAAGACTATATATGCCAGGATGCTGGAAATCTTGAAGTAATGGAAACTCGACATTTTCTTGTAACTTTTCAAAAGTAAGTTTTTTAAAAAGAAAAAAAAATAGTTTATACTCATTGCATGGACGTGTGACAAAAGTTGTTGAATTGTACAGGTGGCTCATGCAGAAGTTCATTGAATTTTTCTTGTATTGATTCTTTGCAAAAAAACAAAAAAAAATTTATATATATATATATATATATATATATATATATATATATATATTAATAGTGACATAAGTGCAGTGTTCTCTTAATATACCTTATACCTCCCCCTACTACTGAACCATAAAAATATCAATTGGCCACCAATTAAACATACGATTGACAAGATCAAAAAGTAATATTAAATAAAATGTGGATACCTTTACACGTCAGGGAGTAATATTAATTTAAAACTCAAATCAGTTCCAAGATCAGTTAATTAGTTATAATCGGCCCTTTGGCCGATTTAAAAAAACGACACATTCATATATTTATTTTTCTTAATGGAAAAAAAACATTATTGGGAATAAAATATAGGAATGTTTATACTTTATATTAGCACAGATTCAGTTAATTCAGAGAGTAGATGTACACTATTGCCGTGGTTTAATTGAGATAGATGATTTATTTATTATAATTTCAGAAAATTAATATAATAATATGTTAAATAATAAAAAACAAATTAATACCATTATTTCAAGGCTGATATATCGATCCTTACGATTGACACGTTTATTTAGAGATAAGGAGAATATTATAAGTGAAACAGTACTAATCAGATAAAAAATTTATATACAGGTACCCATCCCAGACGATTAATTGAGACCAATAGACGAATATTCCACGTGAAACTGTATGAAACTCGAAAGGAAAGGTCGGTCACTGATGATTGATGGAGATGTTTATTCAGCAATAAGAAGAATACACCAAATCAAACTGTACGAACCTCGACGGAACAAAAATAAAGATCGATATATAGGTTTTCGGAATATCGGCATAGGCTAAAATTTCTATGTAGATCGATCCCTAGATGATTGGTTCATTCATCAACAAGAAGAATTTTCGAAGCGACACCATATGGACCACGGATAGAAACGAAAGGGCGATGGACCAATTTATCGGTGTAGCACTCTTTTGTCGGCTAAAGCTTTATCTATTGGTCGATCCCATAACGGTTGATGGATAAGTTTATTTAGCGATAAGGAGTATACTTCAAGTGAAACTGTACGAATCTTTACAGAATGGGAAAAAAAACCAAATGGCTCATATCGGCTATATAGGCCTTTGAAATATAAGTATTAGATAGAGGTGTTAGATAGAGGTATCCGCTAAAATTTGGTACATCAATTCCTAGTTTCCAACTTACAGAAACAACTTTCGATTTTTTGAAAATTAATCTGCAGTTTCATAAAACATCAATTTCCAAGTCTGTCACATCATTAGTATTTTGTTACATTATAGAAATTATTTTAGTTTTTGAGTAATGATACTTCAAAGGTTTGAAGTTGTGCCTTTTTTCAGTTATTCACTTGAATATAGTTCGTGTATGGAGAACATATCAAATAAATTTCTTAATTTAAATCATTACAAAAATAATGGAAAAAAATTTTCAATCTTAATATATTGTTTAAAATCTTGTAAGTTAGTTTATAATAGGTATAACTTCTAATTAACTTTTAAAACATAGATATTTAACAGTTCTTCTGGGCATTTAAAGTAATAAGTATATGATAAAGCGGTAGAAAAGTTGATATTAATGGTTAAATGATGCAATTTAGACGAATTTTCATCATTCGCCATCTTCGGTGAGTTTACCTCTTATTATGTTTTCTCTTGCTGTATTATGATTTATTTTATAATTGTAATAAGTTAGGGGCATGTGGTAACGGAAACAGTTTCCAACAGGGGTGCCCAGAAGGGGGTTTTATGGCGCAAGTAGCTCCATCAAAATGTTTGATGGAGGACACATTTCAACGGGGTCATGAATTTTCGAGGGGGGCCCATTTCAACGGGGTTATGAATTTTCGGAATGACAAGTTTCAGAATAAGGGACAATAGGAAATCATGAAAAAACCGCAGCAAATGTAATTGTGTATGATCTATGATTTTTCTAATTCTACTTTCCCTTGCTCTGTTTTTAAGAAAAGTGAGCAATAAAATATTTTGGGATGAGGGGGAATAGGTTCTTGCGCCATTGATCTTGGGGGAGGAGAGTGGGGGATGGACACCTCTGGTTTCCAACTCCGCCTTGCTTGCTTCTTTAGAAACAGAAAACAGCTTGAAACTTTAGGAAGACTGAGCACCCTGTTTTCATTTTTGTTTATTTATGTTTTGAAATTCCAAATTAACCCGTTAACATTTCGCCAGTTTAGGCATCATCAGGACAAAGAACCCTCTCAATCACATATGTACAGACAAAATACAACAAATCTCTCACCAACAATAAAAAAAAACACATAAATAAGAGGCAGTACATCACTCCGTGATGCCCTAACACATACTCTTTCCAACAAGTACAGTATTAAGATTCAAGAAGGTACTAAAAGACCTTATCCTTGACCTGTAGAAAGAGGAGCTGATGTAATTACAGTGAGTACTAGGAGAAGGATCAATCTTATGCCCATGAGGTTTGGCAAAGACTTTATATACACCACTCACCATCTATGTGGATACAGAACTCGAGAATTACCAGGTTGGCTTCGGAACGGGATAATCTAAGCTTGTTTTGAAATTTTAATGAGACTAATTCAGGAAATGTGCAAATAATATAATCTGGTCATTTGCCAACTCTTTATAGACTAAAAAGCAGCACATGATGATGAAAATGCAACTTTATAAAAAACTTTGACCGGTCTTAATGTATGGCTCAGAAGTTTGACATATAACAAAGGTCGATGAAACAGATCTGCTGGTATTTGAGAAGATAATCTTTTGGCAGATATTTGGAACAATAAAAGCAGGGGAAGTTTGAAGAAGACTCTATTGCCGAGAACTGATCAATCTCTTCAATTGTTCGAATGCTGTTATAACAACCAAGCTTGGGCGGCTTCGATCAGTATAAGACGGTCTAGGGGCCAAACATGAGAGACAAGGTGATTCCCTGGAAAATTTTTGTCAATTAAATCCATGGCTTGAGAAGAACAATCAGACCAAACATGAGGTAGGTGAATGGTGTCATGGGAGATATAAGAATCCTGCTCAAGGTTCGAAACTGGAGAGCGCGACACAGAATTTATCCGACTGACGAAGGTTATTGTTAAAAGCCGAGACTCGATAACGAGCTATTGGGCCATTAAATTATTATTAAAGAGTAATGTTTGAATTAAAATATGATAAGTGACTCCTGGTTGAAAGTTTAACTAAAAAACATTTTGATATGCCATAATAAATGTGAACATTTTCATTTTAATAGTTGCCACATATTTAAATCAATTTATAATTTCCGTATAGGTATTTCTTTCACTCACCATATGCCTGTTCAAAAGACGTTTTCACATAAAAATGCCTCTGTAATTATGCCACTTTTGTTTCCAAAAATTTACTTTAATGATTCTCTTTTGTTTATCGAGTGGTAAAGTGTTTTCTTAATTATAAGTACTAACAATTCAAATATTGGCGAGAAGGTATAAAATTAAAATTGATTTTATGTTGAATCATTGAAAGGCTGCCCCCCCTTCTCCTCACCAAATGTATAAAGAACATTATTTTAAAAAGATTATTTTTTTAAACTACCTTTTGTTCAGTAAAATCCATATCTTAAAATGTTTTTAATTAACCATAAATCGCTAACATGAAAAGTTAGGGAATATTAATAAGGTTTTTTTATTTTAAGTATTGACATTCTTTTCTTGTAAAATTTTCACCGTTTGTTGAGTTAATATTAATTTATTGTTTTCTGATAACTACAGATATATTATAATTTTTTGCAGATAGGAGTATATCGTAAGCAAAATATTTTTAGTTAACCTAATATACCATCATAATTCGATGATTCTCATTTAGTAATCGAGCCCAGAAGGTTCCAGAATTATTAGTTGTTAATCACCGGTGTCATGGATCAGGTGTGTATAAAGCTTTATTTTGTTACTTTATTCCATTGAATTTGTTCTGAAATACCTATTTAATATTCAGAATTAAATGAAGTTTAAAAAGAAATGAAGAATAAAAGCAATTACTGTTTTGTTCCTTGGTTTTTATCACATGGTTTTGATTTCAGGTTTTGAATTGTTTATCTTACATGTTTAATTTTTTTTTTTTTGCAATGTGATGTATTGTTTAATTATATGAGTTATTATCTAATCCAAGATTATTTAGTGACATTTTGTTACAATATATTGATTGGACAATGCTTTTGTAATGATAGTGGTTCAAAAGCCTTTAATTTTTCTTTTTGAAAATTTATAGGTCACTGTGTTAAAAGAAAAAGGAAATGCTGCACTGCAAGAAGGAAAATTTCTTGAGGCAGTTGATTTCTATGGACAAGGCATTAACCTTGATAGTAAAAACCATGTTTTGTTCAGTAATCGCTCTGCAGCTTATGCTAAAGCTGGAGAATACTTAAAAGCTTTAGAAGATGCAGAAATGACTGTAAAATTGAAACCTGATTGGGGAAAGGTGAGTCTTATAGTATTATATTTAGGCTATAAGTTGTTCTGTATCGAACACTTTTAATTTGTGATCACATTCTACATCATATACATGATGATCTTGTCATCATTTAGAACTAAGGATGTTTGAGTACTGTGGTGTTGATATGGTTAGTTACAACTTCCATTATCTCAAAGTTGTATTAAATTTTTTATATACATATATATATATAATTGATCTCTATGTTTTTTGACAAGTGCTTTTATTTCCAATATTTGAATGAGTTTATTTGCTACTAAACAGTTCATTGCTTGTTTAGGTCTATTCTTGGTATGATTGATTTAGTTGATTTTAATAATTGACCAGCTTTTTATCTATGAATCCATCCTAATTTATATTATGATTTTGCTCATTAAATATATGATAACGTTACGGAGAAGTTATATCTGATCCAAAACGTATTAAAATTATTGTTAATAAGCAAACTGGTTCTCTGTTGCTATATATGTTTTGCTGTCTTACACACCACTTACACATTATAACCTTTACTTAATGTTGTGAATAGTTACTAGGCAAGGTCATAGAATGTTTTATTTATTTTATTTTATTATGAAGGGTTGAAATACAATTTATGGGTTAAATAGCTAAAGGGGATAAGGATAATACTTTACTTATGTTGCTCCACTTTCATGACTGGACCAAGATCCCATGATCATACTAGAAACAGGATTTTGAGAATAGATGAGTATTGACAAAGTGTTCTCGGCACTGCGTCCCATTATTTAAATCACGATTTATGACTTCTGCAAACTCCCAGATAGTTCTCAGTATAATTTGTGGGCTTAATTAGATTTCATTACTTTTATGCTAGCTTGCTTCAAAGGGATATACATAAACCCTCAATGGGTCCTTTTCAGTTAAAGACCCTTATGGGATGGTTCACCCATTTTCACTTTCCATTCTTGGGATTCCATTTATAGTGTAATCATGAGATCTTGTATCACCTATCAAAGTAGAGCAACACTTGTAAAGTAGTTCTGGTATAAGTGTATTTTTAAGAAAATTAAATTATTGCTGGTAACAAAGGAGTAAAGTGGTATATAATTAATATCTCCTTTCTCTATTCTCATAAATAAATATTTGGTTCGCAGCTGAGTTGATAGAGGGATAGTTGAATCAGGTAATTGGAATTCAGTTTTCTAAGTATTCAAAAATATTACTTGACTCCTTTATCCACTTGATCCTTCAGATGTTATTTGCACATTGTTTGCTAATGACCCTTTTGTTGGTTCCTTTATTTGTTTGTTTGACTAGATCCTAATTAAAGTTTAAACAACTAAAACAAAAAAAAAAAAACTTACTTCAGGAAAGAATTATAAACAACTAAAAAGAAATAATTAATTGTGCTCAAACAAATATATTATTAAATAAGAGGTAATTAATCCAAATCATCTTGAACTGTACAATAATTATTATTTTTTGATATTGGTGCCAAGCTGCATCCATTTATCATTAGTCAATTTAATATGTCAATATTTATGTCTCTTGGAAAAGATAATGGAAGAAATTATAAAAAACTAAAACCTATGGTGAGACTTAGCACCAACATCAAAATATAATAAATGAATTTTTTCCTTGTAACTGACAATGATCCAGTTTTAATGTAAGAACTATCTATTATTGAACCATTTAAAGTGGTGTAAGTAAAAAAGTAATGCTTTTAGATATTGATACCTTACTAGAATTACTGTATCAGTGTTCTCATAATCTTGATTTGCTGGTGTTCATAGTACTATTTATATGTTAATAGCTAAAATAGAAAGACAGAAAGCCTATGTAAATCAATTAGCTTAGTCAGAACTTACCATACTATGTTTTGCATTCATAGAATTTGTCCCTTTGATGTTAAGAGGTTGTAATGTTAAAATATTAATTTATCATGTAATTTATTTAAATTTGTCAAACATTTTCAATTCATTTTTTCCTTGTAACTGACAATGATTCAGTTTTAATACAAGAACTACCTATTATTGAACCATTTAAAGTGGTGAAAGTAAAATAGTAAAGCTTTTAGATATTGATACCTTACTAGAAGTACTATAAAGGATCTATACCTTCCTTTATACAAATTTCTTAGTAAGGAACTGGCAAGTTCTAACTGAAACTCCACTGCCAGTTCTAAGTGAAACTCCTTGCTGAATACACCTTACTGAAGAAGACCTGCTAAGTCAGGTCGAAACGTTGGCTTTAAATAAAATAGTTTTGCCACTATTTAGTCTAATTATGACCGCCACCCTGAACCATCTCGTTATCAATTATCCTGTTCTTGCTAGAATGTTTCAACTTGTAGGCATCCCCCAATTAAGAGCGCAATGGTCTAACTATCCATAGAGTTAAATAAATATAAATCCATAGAGTTGTGTTAAATTGTTGGATACGCTTGGATTTACTATTTTTATCAGAAAAAGTAAGTTATAATTCCTTACTAAGAAATTTGTATAAATCTATACCTGCCTTTATAGTACTTCTAGTAAGGTATCAATATCTAAAAGCTTTAGTTTATTACTTCCACCACTTTAAATGGTTCCATAATAAGTAGTTCTTAGATTAAAACTGGATCATTGTCAGTTACAAGGAAAAAATGAATTGAAAATGTTAGACAAATTTAAATAAATTACATGATAAATTAATATTTTAACATTACAACCTGCTACCAAAAAGGAACAAATTCTATGAATGCAAAACAAAGTATGGTAAGTTCTAACTAAGCTAATTGACTTACATGGGCGTTCTTTCTTTCTATTTTAGCTATTATCATATAAATAGTACTATGAACACCAACAAATCAAGATTATGAGAACACTGATACACTTGATAAGGATATTGCAGCAAACTTGATACTTTCCAAGAGTTTTCTGGTTTTCCAGAACTGACACTCTTTCTAAAACTTGTGAAGTGAGGAAATGTATTTCCTCCACACTAAATATTTATTGAGTTCCCCATAAATGATAATAAAACAAGTTATTGTATGGTAACACCACCACTACCTTCTACTACTGAATCGTTCTAGGAGAGTGAGGAAAAACAACGTTCTCCTTGAATTCGGCAGGAATTTCCTCCCAAGTTATTTTTTTTTATTTGAAACAGTATCTGTATCTTTATTTTCTATAACATCAGCTTTTTCAAGAACTAGAGATGTGAGGAACTGTAATGCCTCTCTACAAATCTTTTTCTTTTTATATCACTCATCTGTATAGTAAGAATATTTAAAAAAAAAAGAGATCAATAGTTTATTATGTATTTGAACAGTCCAGTTATCTCCTTTATTCACTCTATGTTAAACACAATTTTGCACCCATGTTTAAGAAAAGAAGAAGGAGTTATATATCATTATCTGGCTAACATCAAACTACTTCTATGAAGTGGAGTGGAGAAAATCTGTCTCTTAAATAATCAGAAAATAGTTTGAACCAAGAAATTTCATTTCATTTAGGTAGAAGTATAATAATAACAATTTTAGAAGTATAATAATAGCAAAACTAATAATAATAACACGATAATTACATTTTCTATCAGTTAAATATAAGTTGTAGTGAGTGGGGGGTTTAAAGGGTCCCTTATCCCAAGGGAGTCTAAATGTCCCTTGAGGATAAGGGAAGTTGCAGGAGTGGACTCTGACCACCAGCCTTTAACGATAATAAGGGAATAGTGGAGTATAAGAGACGACTGCATACCACCATAGATCTCTATTCATGTATAATAATAACATGTTAAGTAAGCAAATTTTATAAGAGAGTAGTGGATGGTGACATGTGAGTAGTAAGAAAAGTGAACTTTAAACATACAGATCAAATGGATCAAGGAAAAGTTAACACAATTTGTGTTTATTAAATATCAATTGTTAATTATTTGCCCAACACTACTTATACGGGATAGTTGTGCAGCTATACAACATTCCATCAAATTTTAATGAGTTTACGTGAGGAATGCAGCCTTTAATATTGAATAGAGCTGCGACTGCAGTGTAGGACATTCAACAGGGCTGTGGTCGACCTTGATAGAAAAATATAACCTTATCTGATGAGAAATTTTTGGCAGAAATGATAAGGCTATGCAATTAGTTCATTCAAGGAATGGGTTGTGCAGTGCATGGAGGTTGGACAAGCAATTGACATCAGGAATTTGTTGAGGACACTTAGGAGGTAAACATACTAAATAAAAGTCCCTACCCCTTCCGCTTTATGATAGAGGGGCACTTTAAAGGTCACTTTTCCATATTTTCTCATATATAAAATTAAAGCTGGCAAAATTTTCTTTGAGAAAGTATATATTCATTTATATAGTATATATTCTTTTATAGTTTTCGAGGTATTCACTAACTCAAATTGCCTTTTTTTTTTAAGTTCCGACATAAGGGTGCACCGCGGCCTCCAAAAGGCCTATTGTTTGTCGTCCTAAATTCAATTAAAACAGTCCAGATGCCTTTGCGAACCTATTGATAATAATAGGATCAATCAGTTTTGCAGTGCTTAGAATCAGTGATACGATCACATCCAAAGTTAAAGTATCACAGTCTTGCCAAATTATCACATCTGCAAATAATGTGATAAGCCGTTTCATCCTCCAGGCCACATATCCTGCATGTGGGGTCTCACTTACACCCAAATTGGAAAGTTGCTTATTTAATTGACAGTGACCAGTATACAGTCCTGTCACATGCCTAATGGTACTCCTGTCCATTAGAAGAAGTGAATTACTTCCCTTATAACAGAGCCGTGCTAGGAATAACTTGTAATGAGTTTGTTTGTACGCAGTGTACCATAAATTTATTGCCCACAATTGCCTTTATATGCCTTTTGGCAAAGCCAAGGCTTATCCCGCAAATAGGCTCTGCTGCAACAGGCACCTGTGTGGAGAGCCTTTTCTAGCAAGGCAATCGGCTTTCTCATTTCCTGGAATGCCTGATTGCCCAAGTACCCATCCTATCCTCACCTTGTTAGTACTACAAAGAATGTTAAGATTGCCTTTACATTCATCCACCAACTTTGAGTGACTTGCATAATTATTCAGGGTCCCAATTGCCGCTTGACTATCTGTATATATTATTATCAATCTATTCACAATGCCCTCCTTAATAAGTGATTAGGCACAGAAATCGATGGCTAAAATCTTGGCTTGAAAGACGGATGTATATCTACCTTGAGATATGAATATCCCCTCGTTAGGTTTATCCTTTCTCCGGATGTCAGCCCCTGATTCCTGCTCCATTAAGAAGCCAAAAAAATTGCCTATTTTAGAATAAATTTATTTTCATCTCACATTTTTCGTTAGACTTGTCTTTTTAATACCATGGCTTTTCGTTCTTGAAGAAAGTTTTAGAATATAGTTTTTTTTTTAATGTATATATAATTTATTAGTTTTCTTGTACCTCTAGAACAATCAATTTGTAATTAAATAAATGAATCAAACATCCTAAATCTTAAATTTTGTGTGTTTTAGTGGAGTGTAAATTGATTCATGTTTTCTGTTGAGTCTTCCGTGTCTAGGATGTTTACGTTTCTTTTTCAAGTATTTTTTTTTTTAGGCAATTAATTATAACAGAAAACATGATCCAATTTACACTCCGCTAAATCACAGAAAATATAAAATTTAGGATATACTACAGATAATATATACAGATAAACTTTCAAAAATCTCTCTAGACATATGCAGAGACTGGAGCTATGCAGTTTACAAAAACAGTTGAAGTAACAAGGTTTTTATTAAAGACCGTTGATATAATTAATAGGGTTTTTGTTATTATAATGGTCTTAATGATTTGTTAGCTTTAAGCTGTAGCTCCGTTAAAAATGCACTTCAACATTTTTATAATAGCTCAACTTTGCCAGAAAATAATTTATATTCAAAGTAAAGCGGTGAATGAAAGTTATGTGCTGCGATATTTTTTTTCTCCCATCTCCACCATTTTTTAAAAGCATTTTGTCCTGTTTTTAAGGCTTTGCTCGCTTGTAGAGCCTCTTCAAATTGAGTGAAAGGATTGATAATTTGTATGTGAATTTATTTGGTGTCAAGAAAGTGGCTTTTGTGGGTGAACCTTTTTTACTCACTCTCATTATTTTGATAAATTAAATTAGGGAACAAATTGTCTAATGTTCAGAAACAAAAATAATGAGAAAGAAACTCAGTAGTTGATTTGAATTTGAAATTCTATTTAATTTCTTTAGGTTAGCATTTATATAACAAATCAATTTCCATCTTTCTTGCTAACTAAAATGAGAGAAATGGGGAAATAAGCTTGGTGAGCAAGCTCTCTGCTGTTCACAGCTTTTTTATTTATTTTTTTTAACAAAAAATATTCTTCCTATTAAATTTTGGTGTAGTTAGATTATTTGGAATTTAAACTATGGTATGTATGTAATGAAAACACTTATCTAATTTATTAAGGGAAGACAAAAAAGAAATTTATATGTAAATAGAATTTTTTCTGGATAAAATAATACTTAAACATAATATATTCACTTTCTATAAGTGTTTTGTTATAACATAAAAATTATAATATAAATACGTTAGCATTAACATTTTTATAATTTACGAATGGGTAGGAGGTGACCATCAAGATATTTTTATATAATTTTTCATTTGTTATATGTTAGGAAAAACCATTAGTGTATATGTGGGTTTTAAGAGGAGACCTCTTCCAATTTTGAATGATTGATTTATTTGTTTTGCTCCCTAAGGATGATCAAATATTGTATAACTAGAGTGAATAAGACCCAAAAATAAAATCATGAAAAAACTTCTGGCACAGATGCATTATATTATTATGGTAAAGAAAGTGTAAAATTTAAAACCAGAGCTTTCTAAAAATAATATTTATTGAGTGATTTCATTCTGATTGTGTGATATATCCAGTTTTTTACGTTATGTTAAAAAAAAAAAAATAATAATATTTATGTCCTTTTAAAAAATTTTAACTTAACACAACTTAGCAACATTTTTTTTAATACTGATCTTTTAAATACTAAAGAAAACATTAAATGATGTTATTCCTTAAAATGTTTTTAAATTATTTATCAAATAGATTTTGAGAAAATGTTTCCTATATTGTAATATGAGGATTCCAACTCTGCATATTATTCGTATCTCTGTTCATCTATTTCTTAGTTTTATATTAAATTTTAAAATACAATTTTTTATCTTTTCTATCAACACCATGGGCTGAATTTATTTTATTGTATTATTGTCTTACATTTGTATTAATATTTTTTTTATTATTTCTTAAATAATTTTGTTATAACTGATTAGGGTTACTCAAGAAAAGGTAGCGCATTAGCTTATTTAGGTCGTCATAAGGAAGCTATCGAAGCATATGAAGAGGGATTAAAATTTGATCCGAACAATGCTCAGTTGAAGGAAGGTCTCCTTGAAGTTAAAGCACAAATGGACATGCCTGGAGGTATACAATTTTTAACTAATAAACGGTGAAGATATTGTTGACCGTAAAACTAATTGCTGGGCAAGTTGGTTAGGGTGTCTGATCAGAAATGGAAAAAACACAAATATGGCTGCTTACTATGAGAATGGTGCAATATTTGCCTCTAATGAAGGCCTACAACTTAGCACATATAAAGTAGCCTTTCTTATTAGTGTGTTTTTTTTATTACTGAACATACCCTTCCTCTCCCAGCTTATGTAATTTTTTATTAAGTATTCAATGTCTTTATTTTTTTTGTCTAGTGATTATCTAGTATGATATTCAGAAATATAAGTAAAATAAACAGTAATATCATCTGTTTACTGCAAAGAGCCATTAAGTAATATTTCATAACCTTAAATAATTAAGAAACTCCTTTATGAAATCAGAAAAGTATGTGTTAGTAACTATATTTAATGTATTAAATGGTTAGTATTATTTTCATGAATTTACTTTGTTTTTGTATCAAGTCGAAATTCACAAAAACATATTTGGAAGTTAACCTATATCCAAAATACACTTATGAGATGTTACAATTAACCAAAAATTCTTTATTTTAAGTATTTAATAAATGGTTTCTTTTTTATCTGGAGCCCTAGTTATTTTTAAGTTAAATTGGTTGTTGAGTTTGTTATATATTGTTAATAATGCATGTATTACACTTAAAATGTTATAATTTAAATTTCATGAAAATGAGTTTTTTGAAGTTTAGAAATGTTTTCAATACAATGGTTATGAAGGTGCACGTGCCAGAAATTCTGTTTGTTAAATCTTGACCATTTTTTAAAACTTGGTTTGTAAAAATCCATATTTTTTAGGTTTTTCACATCCATTTTCTGCTGCAGATGTGTATACTAAGTTAAGAAACGATCCAAAGACAAAGGAATTTTTGGATGATCCATCATATATTAAACTTATCGAGCAGCTAAGGAACAATCCCAACGACTTGAGGTATATTATATTTATATTAATTTTGTTTTTAACTTTTTTGTATTTGTAGATATGTTTCTGATTAGTATCTATAGGACAAATGTAATCATTTAAAAAATTTGTTTACTTTATTACAAATTATGTGTAGTTTTAAAAATAAATTTTTAAAAAGTAGTACATTAAAAAAAAAAATGGTTCTTAAATTGACACAGCTGCTGGGTCTGGGTTTAGAGCTGAAAATAGGTCGAATAATGTTTTTAAATACTTATCCGGATGGACAGTTAAATGAAGATTCTTGATGAAAATAAACATTGAAAAGGAGGAGGTGATTAAGATTATTTTATTTGATGTCATAAAAAATTAGGCCAATTCTACACAAATCCTTCGACACAGAATATAAAAAATAAAATGTTTGGACTTTTTCTCATTATTATTTTATAACTTCAGATCAATGCTTCCTAGTATAAAAAAATTCTATTTCAAGAACGAAAGGACATTATGTTCTGTGACAAAAGAGTATCCAAAATATTAAATTTGGTCAAGAAATGTATTTGAGATTGACTTTCATAAAAAAGAAGTTTTTAACACCTTATTTGAGATGTATGGATTTATGTCACTTCAATTCAACACAGAAAAAGACCATTATAATCTTTAATATTTCATATTTTCTTGGCCCATTTAAGGGAAGTTTTAAGTTCTGTAATTCAGAGAGGAGTTGATGATTCTCACTAAAATTTCATATTTTTCCTAGTCTAAACTAATCGTACACCTGTGTCAAGATATAATTTGATTTGTTACATCTAGATCAATTTGTACACGTTATTCCAAATTTTTAATTATTTTCCTTATTTAATGCATATTGCTATGTTAGTTGCTGTTGCTATCAGAGTCTAAAATATTTAAATCTTAAATGAAGCTTGATTTTTAGATTTAGGGCCTGTTTTCCAACTTTTTTTATTAATAACATCAAAATGGTGGTTCCAAAGGAAATTGAAAAAATTCAGTTTTCATATTAAAAAGCCGCTAATGACCCGATCGGGTAGATGCGGAATGTAACAATAAATAATAAATAAATCATACTAAAACATTTTAACTTACCAATTACACCTAAAATGATATCGTTGGACTACATAACTTCAAGAAAAAATCAATGGAAAATATTGGCTAAGATAAAATTTAACTAACAAGTTTGCGTGATCTTAGCAGCATGTTCAATGGTTCGGTTAACCAAAAGCATAAATGTCTGAATTTCTAAATCTCTGAAATTTGTTTGTTTTAAATTATCTGTAGATGTTGTTAAAATGATTCTCAAAAGATCACTTGACTGAAGTAACTGTTCAGCTGTCAGTTTTAACACAAAACTTCTAAACTTAAGGAAACATACAAACTTATATGCTTTTATCAAAGAAATAAACATTAAAGTAGAAACTCATAAAATAATTGTAAATAATTAATCTTTTTAACTTTTGGTTAAGTTATGACATATGTATTAACTTTCTTATTTGTACAGCTTGTTGATGTCGGATAAAAGAGCTCTTGTAACCATGGGTGTATTGATGGGCATTGATTTAGACATCAGTAATGAAGCTGAGAAAATGGATGTTGATCCCCCCAAACCCACAAGTCAGCACGAACCCCCTAAATCTAAAGATGATCCTGATAGGGATCTCACACCAGAACAGCGTGAGGTAAGGTCTTGTAACATAACATATATATATGTATACATGCACACAAATGGTGGATATTGCTTATAACGGCATCGGTTGTAAAATAGTTTTTAATGGATATAGCATTCATATTTCTGTTCAGTACTGCTGGTGTAGCCTTACATAAGAATGCCAATAGCAACCTTGTTCAAGAATCAAACACAAGTCTTTCAGTCTAGCTCAAAAACGAAAAGTCCTATGAAACTGATATCACGTATTTAAGATAGGTATATTCCTTAGTTGTGACGGCAACTTTTTCCTTAAAATCGGCTAACCGGAAGTGCCACTTTATATCAACGCTGAAACACATTTTCACAGTTTTCTCAAAAACGGCTCTAACGATTTTGATTAAACTCGATGTATCATTGTATAATTAAGTGGTCTTTAATATCAATTAGGTCTTATCCCCATTGATGTCACTTTACAGCGCTTAAATGCCCAATGTTCATATACGTCTTCCTCTAAAGTACCTTTAATATGGTTTATTTTAAAAAGTTAATTATTTAGCATTATTCAGAGTTACGAAAAAATGCTAAATATAACTTTTGAAAGAATTTGATAAGTTAATAAAGGAAAAAAAAAATAAAAATGCAGAAAAACGTAGCTATAGACTGTAGCGCCTAAACGAATGTACCGATTTCATTGAAACTTCACTAAAGTCATTTTCTCGAAAGAATCTTATAATTGAATAAAGGAGACAAAAAATATAATTGCTTATACAGTTCGAAAATAAATTCCTGGAAATACAAATCAGAAGTATACTTATAATATATCGTTGGAAAGCGGATAATTTTAGAAAAACAATATCTAATATAGGAAGTTGTAGAAGGTACGGAGAGCGGCGAAAAACTTAAAAGTAACATACTTCAGCGAAAAGAAGCTGGAAAAAAAGTTACGAGGGATGGTAAAATTAAATTCAGAATAACTCAAAAAGTATACACCTTTTTGGGAATGTTGTATATGGTTTTCTAAAAGTTTATGGAATAGTCTAAAAAACAAAAAAAAAAATCGTTAAAATCGGACAATTAGGAGATAAGATATGGTATCTAGTTTTATTTTTAATACGTTCTGCTGCAATGGTTATATCCTTTGTTTCGGTTTTTGAATTTTGAATGTGTTAATAAGGTAATGCTAATTTTTTTAGCATATTACTAATGATTATAAAGATAAGTTTAGTCCATTAATTGGAATCCCCTTTTATTTATTTTTCTTTGTAACTTGGAAGGTAATGTTACTTTAGATGTATAATTGTTTGCAAATAATATACCATTGTGAAATAATTAGCAGCTTTGTAAAATATTTAGCAAAGATATGCTAAATATAACTTTTGAAAGAATCTTATAATTGAATAAAGGAGACAAAAAATATAATTGCTTATACAGTTCGAAAATAAATTCCTGGAAATACAAGTCAGAAGTATACTTATAATATATCGTTGGAAAGCGGATAATTTTAGAAAAACAATATCTAATATAGGAAGTTGTAGAAGGTACGGAGAGCGGCGAAAAACTTATAAGTAACAATTTTTGAAAACTGATAATATTTAACGTAAATCACATGCTTTCAAGGAAATTAAATGAAATTTACTGGCAAAATGTAAACTTTAAAAAATATTTTTACATCTGTAGAAAGTATTTAAAATCCACCTAAGCAAGTTAATATTAAAAAAACTATTTCATCGTACTTGTGTGAAAGAAGAAATAAAATATAAAATCATTTCATGGATGTATAAATCATGTGTTTATAATATTAAATACATTTACTGTAGTTTAGTGATTATTTATTAAATTTTAAATTGGTCCACAATCGTCTTATCTTTTTGGCTACATTCAAGGAATTGCTGTGTTATTATGTGTGCGATGTTGTATTGCGTTCCTGACGTTTGAGAATTTAAAGAGAAAAAAAGGATTTTTTATTTTGGGAAAGTGTTTATTATACTATGTCTATTGTTTAATATGGTTTTATTGTTGTTAATTTGTAGAGTATTGTTATGAAGGAGAAGAAAAAAAAAAGAAAAATATAATATAAAACTAATGTCCATATGGATTGATAAGTATGCTGTGTACAAAGCAACCCTATGTAGTAGGGCAGCATTACTTTTAATAAAGCATTTCTCTCTAAATAATTAGGTATTTAAGTTTTTCCAAAATATTGTCATATAAATTTTTGAAAACTAAATTAGTGAATAATTCGATAGATCTTCCTTTGTGATATTGCACTACTATTTCATTGTACTTGTGTGAAAAAAGAAGTGAAATACAAAAATATTTCATAGATACGTTTATAACCCTAAATATATTTACTGTAGTTTAATAACTCTAGATCTCATAATATATTTAAATATTTAGATATCTATCGTCCGTTTATTCCGAAAAATCATCATGTAACCTTTTAGAAATTTAAATTAGTGAATAATTTGATAATTTTTCTTTTTGCGATATTCCAACAGAATCCACTTACAATTAGTGTGACAACTTTTGACCTGTCTATGACAGACACTGCAAATCTCTTAATTCCATTTTAATAAACTTTGCAATGGAAAATGGCAGTTTAATGACTTATAATCGTACAATCCATAATCAATGGATCATACAATCCATAATCAATGGATCGTACAATCCATAATCAATGGATCGTACAATCCATAATCAACGAATCGTACAATCCATAATCAACCGGTGATATAATAAATAGGACTTTTGTTATTTTAATAGCATTTGTGATTTGTTAGCTTTAGCTCAGTTTAAAATGCAATTTAAAACATTTTATAATAGCCTAACATGGCCAGAAAATAATTTTTATTCAAAGTTCAATGAAAGTTGTGTGTTGCGTGCACCAGATTTTTTTTTTTTCAAATGGTTTAGGAGCCAGAAAAGCCACAATATTTCATTATTTGCACTCAGCAGTGCTGATTTTACTAGGAACCGTAAAGAATTTTTGAAATCCTCTTGATCAACTTTGAACTAGTATTTTACAAGGATGGATTCAAACATGTTGTTCCAGACATGATATTGTTTTATAAATTTTAGCTGTGAAGGTGCCAGCCTTTCTCTGCAGTTAACCAACGAATGGTTTTAACTCTGCAGTTAACCAACGATCGGACTCTGCATTATGAGGCAAAACATTTTCTCATAGAAGTTTGTTTAGTGACAGAATTATTGTTGAGAAGTTCATTACTTTACAAAACATAAATGTTTCTATATGTATAAATGTCTATATTACAGATACTAAGTAGTACTGGTATGTTTTTATTTTAAAAAAAAGATTAGTTTGAGTTATGTTTATCTTAAATTTTATTCATTATTCTTGCTTGATTTCAATGTTCCAATGGTCAACCGTGAACATTATTTACAGCCACAGGTGGACAGATAAAGCGACCTTGGTTTTTATAACAATTATAAGTTTATAACAATGATCGGCTATAACTACAAACTTTTCCTGGTCCCTTTAATGTCGTTACAATCAATATCCACTGCAAATGTACTTACATTTGGTCACAGAGTTGGCACATTTAAATTCTCTTACATTGAATTGGTTAATACGATAAAAAAGGTATTTTCATGTTTTCATTGTAAGTAAAACCATATTCCTTATAAACATAATTTTATAATATTCAACAATATGTAGAAATGTTTAAAAAAAAAACAGTTGTGCTTTTGGTTGTAAGTTAATCCTTTTACAGGCCAAAAAGGAAAAAGACTTAGGAAATGAAGCCTACAAAAAGAAAGATTTTGTTACTGCTCTTCAGCACTATAACAGAGCTGTTGAAATAAATCCTTCTGATATTACTTACCATAATAATATTGCAGGTATAACAAATTATTACTTCTCAGTTCTTTTAAAATAATCTTTCCTAATTTATTAAATTAAATTTATTGTATCATCTATTTTAAATATATATTAATATAAGTTTTTAATTTTACAATTTTAGCTGTATATTTTGAACAAAAAGATTACGAACAATGTATAAGCCAATGTGAGAAAGCAATTGAAATTGGTAGAGAAAATAGAGCCGACTTCAAACTTATTGCCAAAGCTTTCACTAGGATAGGAAATGCTTACAAAAAATTAGAGGTATAAACCTTTCTGGAATATAAAAATTAAAGAGCATGAGCAACAAAACTATCTTTATTATAATGTTTTTACGATTCTAGAACTGGTCCAAAGCTAAAATTTATTTTGAAAAAGCCATGTCAGAACATCGAACTCCAGAAATAAAAGCTCTGTTGTCTGATGTAGAAAAGAGAATTAAGGAAGCGGAAAAAAAGGCGTATGTAGATCCAGAGAAAGCTGAAGAAGCTAAGGAAAAAGGAAATGAGCTGTTTAAAAATGGTAAGTTTCTTAATCTGAATTAAACACTATTGATAATATGTTTGGTTTGATTAGCATTGCATAGATGATTTGCAGATACTCCTTTTTTTTTTATTGTCTTGGTTACAAAACGAACAGAAATTAATGAGACTTCTACTAAAAACGAACAACTCCATTTTATAATTATATCTATAATAAATATGTAGGTAATAAAAAATTAATTTGCCTTCTGTAACACAAAATCATTTACAAAGAGGCAGATAAATGTTTCAAAATTGATGTCATATATCAGTAGCAAACTTTTTTTTTTTTGTTGCAAAATTTTAGAATTTGAAATTATTTTTGTTATTTAATTATACTTGTTTGTTAGCAGTTGGCTCATATGATATTTTAAAAAATTATATTTTCAACTATAATGTTTTTAATTATATTTTTTTAGTCAACATTATGTAAAACTATTATGAATATGTACATTATTATACTGCTTGTGAAGGATCCTCATCCATACTTATGATGACAACAATGGTTACAGGATTAGGAAAATTATCTGATTTTCAAATTTTAGTCCCAAAAAATAATTATGATTTATGACTTAACTTTTTTGACAATAATTGCTACTATTAAAAACCAATTAACTGCAAAATAAAAATTCTCATTAGTTGTACTTATAGTAAATGACTTGAACATTCAGAAATATTTAAAAATAGTTCACATGGCATATTGGTCAGTGATCAAATGATAAATTAATAATAAAATAAAATAATGCAACGTATCATAAGATGGGGAAATCAATTCTTATTTTTGTCGCTAACTATAGTTGACAAAGGAAATGAAAATTAATTTAAAAATTCATTCATGTTTTGAACTAACCAACATGTTTACGAATTTCAATAATCTTTAATTTTGCTAACAATAATCCGTTTTTGTAGGGAATTAAGTAATATTTTAAATAATCAACTTTTGGTATAACCAACTAAAAAGTGTATACTTTTTTAGTTTTTCACAAATGTTTCTTTTTCTTCATTAGTTTTTTTCCTGAAATTTTGGAGGGGGGTGTGGATGACTATTTTCCCCAAATAATGGCTCAATCTTGGGATTTGATTAAAATTTAACAGCCTTGTCAGGAAGGAAAGTAAGAAAAAATAGTGTCGAAAACGGAATAATAACTAGATTAGTTTAACACATGGATTAAAATATTTCAGATATTTAGTCAAATTTATTTTGTAGGCGATTATGCTGAAGCCGTCAAATATTATTCAGAAGCAATAAAAAGAAATCCAGACGAAGCCAAATATTACAGTAACAGAGCAGCCTGTTACACAAAACTAGCTGCTTTTGACTTGGGAATCAAGGATTGTGATACATGCCTTCAACTTGACCCTAAATTTAGTAAGTATAAGTTGTCAGTTTTTTATTATTTTGACTTACTTTATGAGATGTATTGTAGGTAAGGAATTTAGGGAAGTATTGAAAATTTTGGATACAAGTTTTCAATGGAAATACACGTTGGAAACAAAACAAAGTCTCACAAAATGCTATAGGTGGGTACAGCCTAGCTCAAAACTGAAGAGTCGTACTAAATTAGAGTTACATATTTAAGTTATGTGCATGGGATTCAAAACCAACTTTTTGCTAAAGTTGACTTACATGAAGTGCCAATTTATTCAACATTTTAAAATTTTCTTGAAAATATCTTTTAACAATTTTGAGTAAACTCTTTCGATCTATGTACAATTATATGATCTCAAACAGCTAGGTATTATTCTCATTAAAATGGGGAATGCGGTAATTTTTTGTTTAAATACATGCACATATAAGTGTGTGTGTGTATATATATATATATATGTGTGTGTGTGTGTGTATGTATTTATTGTAGGAATTTCACTTATAAATTCACTATTTGAGTTATCATTCTATGATGATTATATGATTATACCATTATATGATGGTAATCTACGTACAAGTTAGGAGAATGACATTAACCTGATACTTAAAACTAAAATTATTTATCTTGTTTCAGTTAAAGGATGGATTAGAAAAGGTAAAATTTTACAAGGTATGCAACAACCAAGTAAGGCACTTAGTGTTTATCAAAAAGCATTGGACATGGATCCTACAAATGCGGTAAGAATTTTACTTGGTAACATTTATCTTTAAATCCTTATTTAGCTTCTTCATAATTATGATAATTTCTTAGCAACTGCACACTTTCACATAGTAACATCTCAACACGTTGTTCTGGTAGGATAGTGTCCTTAAGAAGGCAGGTGCCTCTCAACATTCCCATTGTCTCTTTGTACCTTATCAAATTTAGAACAATGTTCTTTAATATATTTTGTTATTTAAATATAATTTTATATTTTGTATTAAAAAATATGTATGATTCATGTAATTAAATAATATTACATACAAGCAGTTTAATTTTATTGTTTAGAAATTTTAACATTATTTTTAAAGGAGTGCCTTCACAGATTTATTTGGACGAAAAAAGGTGAATGGTGAGGTAATTTTGTTTTGTCGGTTAATTACAGTTGTTTTCTGATACAATGAACAAAATTTTAGTGTAGTTTTGAAGTTAACTACTTCATCATAATAATGAATTAATAACAGACCTTATGAATCAAGTTTAGAATAGTAAAAGGTATACATTAAATAAAAACCTTTTAGTAGTTTTGGATCAACCAAATTTTAAATTAATTGAGTGTTTTAGCATGATGTGTTTTTTATGATTTACATTCCTTAGAACAATGGCCTAATAAGGTTTATAATACATTTCTTCCGCTTATTTATTTTATTCTTTCTGTTAGGGCTACTCTTAATTCCTGAAGGAAATCAATTAAAGTCAGATGTCTTTCTAATCATCTAAGTAATTTAGCCAGCAACTGTTTTTAAGGATTCCCTCCCTCCCTCCAATAAAAATTGATTCTTCAAGCTTCTAAAGAAATCCTGGGGCCAAATTATAAATATAACTCCATCATAGCTCCTTTGTGAATAGGTTACAGCTTCTCCAATCCTCTATCAAAACAGCAATCAAGATGTTTTATTCCATGGTCATAATTTTGGCCCATGCACCAGACTTCTTTCTGTACCAGACTCAGAATGTCTTTGCCATATTAAACAAACCATTCTCTACTTTTACCAGATGAATCACTAAATAATGATCATCCTTTGCTCAGACCCATGTCTTCTTGAGTGTTCTCTTGTTTCCTACTAAACTTTACAAAACGTTTAACAACAGTCTATGCTAGAAATATTTAATTTTGACAATAACAAAGTGTCTGATAGATATTTTTTATGGGTGGCCATATTTTTTAGCCTCAGTCTGGTTGAATTATCTTGAACTGAACTCTCTCTTTTATGATAACTAAATATTTACTTGATAATGTTGAATTTTAGGAAGCTCTTGAGGGTTACAAACAGTGTTCAGTAGCCGTTAATTCTAATCCTGAAGAAGTAAGGAAACGTGCTATGGCTGATCCTGAAGTTCAAGCTATATTATGCGATCCAGCTATGAGGTTAATTTTGGAACAAATGCAGAATGATCCTAAGGCCTTACAAGAGTAAGTGACTCCATGTTAATATAGAATGTTACCTCATTCTGCTTAAATATTCTCCATTACCTTATTTTTCTCTTAGACATAATAAGTTATTTCTTAGGAATGTAACTTTAGTATTGATTAATTACTAACAAGTTATTTCTCTTTTGCAGCCATTTGAAGAACCCAGACATTGCCCGAAAGATCCAAAAATTACTAAATTCTGGATTAATCGCCTTTCACTGAAATGCAGCACCTTTATTCCTGTTGTTTTCTTAATTTTTTAGTTGTATAAGTTCCTTATCGGAATAATCTTTTTTTTCACAAATAAATATTTATTTGTTTATTATTTGTTTTTTGAAAATTTGTAATACATAATTTGTATTTTGTGAAACATAGGCTCCTGGTTGGTTGTTTATATTTTTTTTTAATTTTTCTACTTTAGATTTTATTTCATTTTTGTAATTTTGTCACTTATTTCTTTATTAAATTTTACCTTAGCTTTCGGTGAGGTATCCCTTCCAAAATAAATTATTTTCTACTATTTGATATTTATAAACTATTTAAATGGGAATTTTAAATACACTTTTATTCTTTGAAAACAAATATGTATATAGAAAACTTTTTTAGTTTTCTTTTCGAAATTCAAATAAATTTACATTTACTGAAACAAAATTCTTTTATTAGCTAACGTTGTTTTAGTTCTTTATTTGTATGATCATCTGATTTTCCTCTATGATAATTATTTTTTATTATTAAATAATAAAAATAATAACTCAAATAAACTAAATCCAGCAATAAGCCTATGTGCTAGTTCAAATTTTATTATTTATTTGTTCACTTTGGTGGCCTGTGAAGTTAACACAATTTAAATTTTGTTAGTGATGATTTAGCGATATTAAATTTCAGATTTAATTCTTTCCCCACCTTAGAATTGAAGTTGTTATTTTTTTAATAATTATAACTAGGTATGTTTCAAAGAATAGTTAACTAAATTGAGATGTACAAGAATAAACAGTACATCTATATTTTGTATCGAAAATTTTAATCCTTTAATTAGTCCTGATAATTGACTGCTATTATTTGTCTGTACATATTACCTGATATTTTTACAGTCTTATTTTTTTAGTTTTAAGTTTATCAAACATGTGTATGCATGAATATGTTGTAATATACTTCTTTTGTAATGCTTGGATTATGAAATGAACATTAATATTATTAAAAATTACTTCATTATATGGATTTAAGTTTGTGTTAAAGAATTCTAATTATTTTCTGTTCAGGTTCATGTGAAAATTTGTCCTCATGTATTCATTTTATTAAAAAATTTTTTTTTCAAATTATTAACTAATAATTTACCTTTTTCATATAATTAACTAATGTAACAATACAATAGAATATTAGACTGGAATTTAAAAAAAAAAAATGTTTATTTTTTGAGAAGCTTGATAGATTTTAGTTATTTTGTGTACTAGTTGAAGGAATTTATTATCTGTCTTGAAAATCTTATATTTTGAAATAATAGGTAACAGGATAATATCGAAAGTTGGGTAGTTGTGGAATATCATCCCCACCCTACCTCCATCTTTATTGCCCTATCTGGAAGTGCTTCAGTATTTTTACTTATTGAATTGGACCTAGTTTAAGTTCTTTAATAATGAAAAGTGTTCAGATTGTAATATTTGCTTTTATCAATGGTTTGTTATAAATCAACTAGTCCTAAGTTGATCGGTTCTCTAATTAGTATTTTTATTGAATTCATTTTAGTATTACAAGATTAATTTCTATAATAGATCATCATTCAATTTCTATACTGCGGATCTATTTTACTTTTTTATTTATTATTTTATTGAAATTTAAAACTGTAATATTTGACTAAATTTATGGTAATATTTTACCATTTTAAGTTTTTATTTTTATCATATGTTATGATAGTAGCTTATATTGCCTAGATTGATGCGTTAGCTAAAAATATGTATTAAGTTAAAAAAACATTAAAGAGTATATTATAAATGTATAAAATCGTTGAGAGTAATTAGTTGAAATAGCTCCTTAAATTCAGTGGCTTGGTTAAAGTTTAGTTAGTGCTGAGAACTTAAAGTTTGTATTAATTACTCAAATTTATAACTTTAACTTAGGAAAGATTTTTAATGTAGGTTACTGGCTGGTTGGTACACCAGATAAGATAGGTCAGTGTAGCAGCCTAATTGTGATCTCAAGCATGAATTCGTGTTTTCCTAAACATCAAGACTTATTGCTAATCAAAAATGTCAGTTATAATACAAAATATGGATGGATAACTAGTAAACTAGGAGTTACTACAAGCTTTCAACATAAAAAGTTTGGATTTAATTTTTTTATAATTAGTTTAACAGCAAAAGCCATACTGCAATACTTTATATTTAAGTGGTGTACATAAATATTAATATTATTAATTAGAAATATGATCTACATTAGGTAAGTCAGTCTAGAAGCACGATGATCAATTCTACCACAAAATCTAAACAATTTCATTTTTAAATTGGAAAATTAAAAGTCAGCCAGAAAAATAAAAATTCTGACCTTAAAGCTTAGACAACTGGTCTGTTGTGGAGATGATTTTCCAATAATTAGTAGCAGGTCATTGGATTGAGCAGAGTTTAAGGCATTGTTGAAAAAGTTACCGTAAAAGTATAGCACCCTTCTCTTCAACATCTAATATCGAGATTTTTCACTGCTGAGCTGTACATTATGTCCATTGTCTTGAAATCATTAAAATAATAATAATAATTAAATAATTAGTGTGAATGTGATCTGTGAACTCTATTATAAATGTCCTAGAGACAGATTGTAACATTTTCCAATAAATAAGTTAAAAAGAAAATAATTCAACCATTGAGTTTTGCTCTAAAATATGATATAAAGGTTTGCTCTCTTTGTGTAAAAATATGATAGATTTGATTATGTAGTTTATGTTCTAAAACATTTAAAAGAAAATCATTAGTTTAATGTAAAGATTGCTAATATAGAAAACTTGATCTGGAGAAGTCAGTTAAAAAATTATTTAGTAAAAGAGATAATTATAACAATCCGCTTGGTGAAACTGAAGGTGTTGATACCACTAACCATCCTCTACACCTCATGATCCGCCAACTCCAAGAGATCAGCCAGCTTAAAGCTGGCATATTCATTGTCTTCACTTTGGTCTACTCCTTAGGGACTTATCATTTGGCATGGTGCATATTATTATTTTAAGAATTCATTCGCTTCTTACATCAACAATTTTAATCACCTCAAAGCTATAATCATAATTATATTCATTGGCTACTGTTCCCACATTTTGGTATGATGGCGTGTAGCAGTCTAAATTCTCCTGTTGTCTTTACTGTTTACGTTTCTGTTCCTGGAGTTTCTGTTACTATGGATTTTGATAGGGTCAGTAGAAGTTTTCTCAAATAATTAAAGCCTCACAGAATTCCTTGCCTATTCAGCCTTTACTCACCTTATCCCACGCTTGAAATGAGAAACCTATTCCCCCTTACCACAATTCAAATAGTTAAATTTGTGCTTTCCTTGTCTTAATTTCTCGTTTGGTCCTAGGATCAGGTTGCCTCTACGCACCGCGGGGGTGTTATTTATGTCACTGTATCTGAGTAAAATAGCCATTTCGAGAGAATCCAGTTTCCTTCCACTATGCACAGTGGCTTAATAATATTATTAATATTATTATTTCCATTCTTTATTCTCGCTTTGCGGGGTAAGTTTCTGAGGTGGGAGACCACAAGTCCAGCCACTTCAGATTAATATCTATTACTTTTTAGATATTTAAAAACTTTCGAACAATACGTGCCGTATCCAAGAGAACTGAGTGTTGAGCCTCTTTCAGCACTTCAAGAGGTAATTTTAATCCCATCGTGCCTGCCACTGTTGTCTTTGGTATCAATCCATTGGAGGATATTATAATTGGAGTGGTGGTGACTCCAAGTGATGAAGTGATATAATTCCTTCAGTTCGATTGCTAGTTCCTGGTATTTTCTCAGTTTTTCTCCAACAGTGGAGCTTATATTATTATCATTGGGGATCCCGACATCAATAAGCTCTGCTCTTATATCTCTCATGTCTATCAGAAGGATGTCTGGTTTATTGTGACGCACAGTATGGTCAGTTATAATCAATTCATCCCAGTAGAGCTTCAGACTACCTTTTTGGAGGAGTTTATTTGGGTGGTACTTATAATATGGAGTTTTGTCATCTAACAAGTTGAACTTCACCACCAGAGCCTGATGAAAAATTCTAGCCATATTGTTATGCCTCTGGAGATACTCGGTGCCAGCCAACACTCCACACCCACCTGTGACATGTTGGATTGATTCCAGCGTCGCTGAGCATAATCGACATTTATCCGTAGTTGTTGCGTCTTTAAGAACATGCCTTCTATATGATCTAGTAGCAATAACTTGGTATTGGATGGCGAGCAGAAATCCTTCTGTCTCGGAGAATATCTTTCCAGCTTTCAGCCATTCAATGGATATTTCCTTGTCAATCGAGCTATCATTTAATTTGCTGTAGAATCTTCCATGCAGAGATTTATTTTTCCATTCTGTCAAGCGTTTGTTTTCTGACACGATTGTAGAGACCTCACGATTGCTCAGGTTAAGTGCGGTTAGACCATAATCCAATCTTGAGATTGCGAGGTAAACCTCAGTTGTTTTTGTAAGAAAGTATCGGCGTAGGGCCGCTTCCTGTTTGCGGCAAGCTTCTTCGATATTTAGCAAACCACGTCCTCCTTCTTTCCTAGGCAAATACAGACGAGCTTTGGATGATATTGGATGGTGGGCCTGTTCTTGTGTGAGAGTTTTTCGCACAACGCGGTCGATCTCCTGTAGGCTGGTGTTTGACCAGTGCAATATGCCGAAACTATAACCGAGAGCAGGTATTGCCCAGGTGTTGATATAGCCTTGATTTTTTGTTTCCCGGTTAGCTGGGTTTTGAGCACTTTCCGCAATCTAATTTTAAACATTGTCAGAAGGTCTTGTTGCATGTCTTTTCTTGCAATTTTTAGATGTTGCTGCATTCCCAGATATTTATATAACCTATTGTCTTCAAGCTCCCTGATGTACTCTTTCTCATTGATTAGAATATTCTGCATACTAACCACTTTTCCTTTGGTTACATGGAGCACCGCACATTTATCCAGACCGAGTGACATGCCTATATCACTACTAAAAGATGAAACGGCTTCAACCATACTTTGTAATTGGTCTTTGTTTTTCGCATATAGTTTAAGGTCATCCATGTACCAGCTGTGGCTGACTATAGTGGCTTCGTCGTTGATGATTAATTTGTATCCCATCTTGTTCTTTCGAAGAATCCTGCTTAGTGGGAACAAAGCCATACAGAACCATAAGGGACTTAGACAATCTCCTTGGTATATTCCTCTCAATATTTTAATTTTATTCCCTGTGCAGATAGTTCCAACTTTGGAAGCAATGAAATCTTTTAATCCAGTAATTTTGGATACCGTCAGGTCCTGGTGCCCTCCAATTTTTCATGTTTCTGACCGCTTCCGAAACATCTTCCACAGTTATGGTCACTTCCATCATTCCATTGACATTCTGAAGACTTTGCAGTTCTTCTTGTATCCAAGAACTCTCGAGGTGATTTCCCGATTTTTCCCATAATTTTTTTCAAAGGGTTTCAATGTCATCAGGGTATTTGATCGATATTTTTTCTCCTTTTACTAGGTTTCTATAAAACTGACGTTCATTCTGCTTGAACAGCTGATTTTGTTTCCTGCGTAAAGCTGCCTCACTATATCTGCGCAATCTGCTGGCGTAAACTGCCAGCTTTTGTTTCAGAATATCTAGATATCGAGTCAGTCTATCAATTAACTCACTTTCCATTACGGTTCTCAAATTCTATACTATAATCTCATCTATCTTGCTTTTTTGTCTTAGGTCTTGCAGCTTGAGGGTTACGAATATAGTTTAAGATGACGCCAATTTTTCCACGTAAGGTATCAATTTTCCTTTGAAGTCTTCTCTTCCACTGTGGTATTCCACTATATCCAGTTGGAAGTTTATTTTTACTTTTATCTTCCATTTTTATGCCCAGTTCTAATGTAACTATCTTGGCAGCAATATCGATTGAATCGAGCTCGTTTGGGATGATCTCAAAAGGAAGATTCGGATTCACGAGATTCACCTCCTACTACCCTTGAAATGCTAAAGGCAGTTGTATTGTAAGAGTGGGCAATATAACCCAAGATTTTTTTCAAAATCTTTTTACAACTACAACAGCAATCATTCAAGCCAGAGGGGACAATAAGTCTTATTAAATGTAAATTAAAAATTTTAATTGTAATTCAAACGTTAA